ATTCCAAGATAGACTCAGAAGAAGATAAAGGTATAATGACACTCTTATTACATGCATTGAAACGTGTACCTGAACAGTACAGAACAAAATGCTTCAATAAATTATTAGAAGTAGCAGGATTATTTCAACAAGACTGAAAAGAAAACTGCATAATCATTAATTAAAAAGTGCAAAAGATAAATTATTTTTTTATATTCCGTTAGAATTTTATATGAAATATTGCACAAATTTTATTTAAGATTCACGTTTGAAAAAGTTATTTTTAAAAATTTGTGTGATCTTTATATTAAGTAATTTATTATTTGTCGTTATGTTTCATATCGATTATAAGCAGCCACTTTAATAGATATAAATTATTGTTTCTCATCGCTATATATTGAGCATATATATGTATATTTGTATTCTATTTTAATGATTTTTATTTTGTGCAATGTTATGGAAGAAAGTTTGTGTTTCTGTATTAAAAAATAAAGATTGAATGAAGATTATATGTATATATATTTTTTTAAATATAATTTGTTTCATTTCTAGAATTCTTTTATTTCTAAATATATTTATATATAAAACATACTTATTAATCACAGCCGTTCACACACATGTTTCTTAAAACAAATCCTTTTAAACTGCGATCAGAAACGGATGGCACCCAGTTGGACACGGCTCAATTGGACACGAGCCACTCACAGCGCTTGAGACTACAAAGTTCCTAAGCACTGGTCGCTGTGATTGGTGGTGTCCAATCGAGCCGTGATCAATCGGGATCACCCCATCAGAAACAATCCTTTCAAAAATTTTACCGGTGTATATCCATGTATTACTCCATTCTTTATGTTCATAGAATGTTAAAAATAAAATGATACGTGCATGCACTCAAATGAAGTCTCTAAACATAACTTTACAAATTTATACATTTTATGAAAGGTATACATTGTTCATTTGTAACAACTCAAATTTTAATTACTTGCAGAAAAATAACAGAATAAAAACATATTTGAAAAACAATGTATTTATATTTTGACCGTATATTTGAAAAACTCAATTAATACTATAATGTAACTGCCTATTACGGTCCGAGCTGGATCTTTGTTGCTTTAAATAATTCAATCTTGAATTACTAATATATCCTATATATGTACTTGCATATATACCATATTGTAGTCTTTTTCAAACTGCGCGCCGAATTGTTTTTCCGGACTAAATAAACGCAATTAAAACTACTCTAGTAATCGCAAATTAAATTGACAAGCAATTTTTAATAATTTGATGCTACCATCAAGCATCATATATTATAAAGATGTTAATCTATAAAAACTGTTTGAAAAAAATTTGAAAAAAACAATTTTTCATTCCTGTACAATCATTCATTGCAACAAATTGTATTTCAAAATTAATATCAAAATTTTAATGATTTACCTTCACTCATTTTCTGGAAACTTTATTTTCAAAGTTGTATCGTACTAAAAATGAACGATAAGAATTATGTATAAAATGTATAGAGAGATTGTATGTTAACTAATACAATTATAAAAATAATGTAATGTGAAGTTGTAATGTTATGCGTCATTGTTTTGACCGTTAGTGTCAGCATCGGCATTTGCATCCTCTGACAGATCATCGTCCGCGCCTGAAGACAAATACAAAAACATAAAATAATTAAATAAAACAAGATATATGTACATTATATATGAAACGATCAACATAAAAATTTACGAACTAAGTTAACTTAAAAAAAAACTCAAAACTTGCCTGTCTCTTCCTCCTCATCTTCTTCTTCTTCTTCTTCTTCAGAAAAAGAAGAATCACTGTCGCTATCTGTGCTGTCGGAATTTGCCGAAAGGGAACATTGATCGTATTGCTCAGGTTCGGAATAGACCTCTGCATCAGGGAAAATATACCTGAATGCTGCCAATTGGTAATAGGAATTTTCTGTAAAAAAAAAATCTCAACCGTATTAATATTTTTGTCACTTACAAGAATACTAAAATATGTATTTGTGGTATTTGCAAAAATGTATAGTAAGTTTTTGTACCTGGTAATCTAGTAGCGAGGCTCTCCCGAATCTTTGATTGCCAGCAGTGTCTCTCTAATCTTCTGTTCTTCAGTTCAGTTATATGAAACTTTTCTTCTGTGCTATCAATACTGTTACAACTGTCACCTATGCCTGAATCCAATACCGAGTCTACCGATGCTTGCCTCGGTTTCGGTATCGTTTTGTCCAATTCAGTAGTAGCATCTAGAATCGCAATGACGTCGTCATATTTTTTTGATTTTCCACACTTATTTAGCGACTTGTGAGACTCCAGGGTAGTTTCGCTTATTACAGCTTCTGAAAAAAGAGATAATACTGTCGGCACCACCTGACATTCTTCCGAATTATTTTCATATGTAATGTGAAGTTTGTTTTCTGACGAGATCATTGTGTGTTTAGTATTCACTTTCACTGGTGATGTGGAGCTCGCAACTTCTGTCTCATGTGTGCTATCAAAATTCATCCTCTTAAGACTGTTCTCTATACTAGTATCACCCGATCGTCTTTTCGGACTTTCTTCTAGAATATTGAAGGTCTCTTCTAGATTCTCCGCCTGAACATGATTACTATGCAAAGATGATACACAGACATTGATGTCGTTTGTACGGTGGTGTGGCATTACATTCATAGTGATAGAAAGGCTATCCTGACTCAGTCGAGGATATAACAGTGTGAGGTTTCTGGGCTATCGCGCGATACTTCAGTATTACTTGTCGTGTCTTGATTCTGTTCCCAAGTATCATCAGACAGACATCGCAATGGTAAGAGCTGCGGACTTCCATCAGAAATTTATCGTACCAACAAATTTCTTCATAAGTATCGCCCATTCTGCACAATGCCAACAAATTGATACGTTCGTTAAAATACAAATTTAATGTATAGATACATATTTTTGTGATACACACATTTTTAATTTTAAGAAAAAAAATTAAATGAGATATATGTTTCGTATATAAAATTTTTATGTAACAAATTTAACTTCTTACTTACAAATGGCAAATTTGATTTATAATAATGTCACCATCTCCCAATAGCTCAACGCCAAACTTGAGATGTGGTAATTGTTCTCGATTAATGAGGATCTGCGGTACATGCGACGAAAGGAATTAGGGCAACCGGCCGAACCTTCAAGGATGATCCAATAACTATTAGAAGGTCGCAATCGTCCTTATCTTTCCTGAAGGCCATCGCGTCATAGAAAACATCTGGGAGGCCTTCGCCGAAGAAGACGATATCTGGCTTCATTATACCTTGCGACAAAGAATAACACACGAGAGAGTATTATTAAATTTAATATATTAAATTAACAACAATTTTAATTAATTTAATATAATATAATATATATAAATAAATATAATATATTATATTTAATTAATTTAAATTGAACGATTATTTAAAATGGCATTTTGTAATGTTCCGCTCAATTGTAACATATAATATTGTTGAATTGAGGAAACAGAAAACAATCAAGGACAATAAACGACAAGCCTCGAAATAGTCGCGAAACGCGGCACTCACAGATAAGTGCAATCTTTTAAGTTTACCTTTATATGCTTATTAAAAAGCGAGGCTTTATAATCGCAGTTACGATTGATGATATCAACTTATGTGTTGAATCGATAACTTCATTTAGTTCGAGACATTCCGAGAAGAAGAGTAGAAACGTTCTCTCATTGCCATCGATTCGCGACATTATATAGCAAAGGCTAACAATGAAGAACTATCACTAAAGATAATTATATAACCCTCCGTATTGAAATTGACAAGCCATTACGAAAGACTGCAAATAAATACACTATCAGCAAGGATTATGTAAAAACGAGTTGCTCTATTTACCTCTGTAATTCTCGCTACAATTCATTTCGGACAGAGGGCAATGCATTGACACGGCACTTTGAATACGTAGATATCCTCTGTGCGAAGATATCTTCCCTGATGTCATTCGCTCTGACTTGATATTTACACTTTGTACACGATGCGGTAGCGAAAGAGCCTTCAACGAAAAATATACGTAATTAAAAAATATAGTTAACATAATTATACGTAATTGTATATACAAGCTTAAGAGCTATAATACAAACTGATACAAAATAATACATGCATGCACTCAAATGAAGTTTCTGAACATAACTTTACAAGTTTATAGATTTTATGAAAGGTATACATCGTTCATTTGTAATAACTCAATTTTTTAATTACTTGCAGAAAAATAATAGAATAAAAATATATTTGAGAAAAGAACATTTTTTCATTCCTGTACAATCATTCATTGCAACAAATTGTATTTCAAAATTAATATTAAAATTTTAATGATTTACCCTCACTCATTTTCTGGAAACTTTATTTTCAAAGTTGTATCGTTGTACCCTCTCTAAATAAACGATAAGAATTATGTATAATGTATAGAGAGATTTTATTAACTAATTCAATTACATATTACAAAAATATAAAAAGACAATATAGAACAGTAAATGCTTTCCACATAAAAACTCACACAATTCTTGGAACTCACATAACTCTGAAAAAAAGACTAAAATTAATTAAACTAAGATTCAAATTAATTTATTAACATTGGTCGCGTTGAGCAGAGTTAACTGTTGCGAAACAGATCTGTTGCGATTGGTATATTCTAGATCATCCAATAATAGCGAGCACTCACGGGTCCACTCTGTAAGAGTTGAGTCTACTAAACGATCATTAATGTCCAATTTCTTCATCTCTAGATAACTTTATCCAAGAGATATCTCCTAGATTATAATAGAGATATCTCCTGGATAAAGTTACCCACAACTTATCTGAAAGTGAAGAAATAGGGCATAATAGAAATAAACATAAAACAATCAGAGTTTAGTCACCTGTGAATAAATAGTATTATCTCCTATAAAGGGATATTAATGTTGTAACCTCTCAATGCATGCTCAAATTGCCAGTCAAGTGCATTTGTCATAAAACATTTTCGCAATATGTCTCGCTAAGCACTTGCAGTATAAGCAGCTCGGTTTGAGCCAACCTGACCAATACGCACAATATGAGATCCTAATTCTTCATTGCGCCATTCTCCTGGAGTAATGATGCCATTAATCTCTTGATCCACAAAATGCGGTGGACAATACTTTTGTTCATTAGAGGACATGATATAGTTGTACAAAACTACAAGTACAATTTTATGAGCAGTTTCTTCCTTGCATTGAATTGATTTCCTTAAAATTCTCCATCGAGAAACAAGAATTCCGAAAGCATTTTCAATTATTCGCCTTGCTCTGGACAAACGATAATTAAAAATTCGTTGTGAATCACTGGTTAGCGATCTTCTGGGATATGGTCTCATAAGATATGGTTTAAGAGGAAATGCTTCTCCCACCAAAGCACAAGGCAATATAGTCGTTGTACCAGACAATGTCTTTGGAAGTGGAATATCTGCTGTACCAGATTCTAAACTTTGACCAAGATTACTGTTTGCCCACACCTCACCATCACTGTTGGAACCTGCAAAATAAAATTCTAATTTATAATTACATTCAATATACAAAGACATATTTGAAATCTATATCTATATTATAAGTATATATTACCATAGTCACCAATATCAACCCAGATAAATTTATAATTGGCATCACAAATTGCCATTCAGTGTAAAACTGAAAAAAACCTTTGTAGTTATCATGTAAAGAATGACGTATTTTGTGGGGCTTGAATAGTAATATGTTTTTTCCATCTAGTGCACCTATGCAATTTGGAAAATTCCACTGGTTCCAAAATCCATCAACTACCTTTTCTCATGTGTCTCGTGAAGGTTTTGGCAAATATTGCACGCGAAGAGCTTGCCAGATTGCATTGCAAATCTCATATACGATTTTATGTATAGTTGATTTGCCAATTCTAAAGTCCCATGATTTTGATCTGGCACTGTCACCATGGGCAAGGAATCTGGAATGGTAAAAGATGTATCGATTATTATATGTTATTGTCTACAACTATTCAATAATGTAAGATAAATAATATAACTCAGAATGAATGTGGCAATATTTTGTTTACTTACAAAAGAGTCATGGCTACTTATTTATTCACTGAGATAGATTTCCGTATACTTCTCTTTGTAAGAAAAGGCCTGACAAGATTGCATATATGATCATATTGGGCAGGTGTCATTCGTGTCATATTAAAAAATTCCTCATGATCTGTCTCATATGCTTCCTTGAACTGATTATTGAAATATCCCAATTAATTTCTGGTTCTGTTTATGGGTCTTACCTACCATCTCCTTCCTTTATAGAGCCTCTTTCGTTTTAGATATAAATATACTGATGCCAAATGCAAATATGTACTAGATAGTAACAAAATGTTATAAATTATACGCAAATCCATTTATATTCGCAAACAGATAAAAGATGCCGCTGTAATAGGATAGTGCATTAAATATGATGCCCATCCAATTCTTCTTCCTTTTCCTAAATATAACATTAAATTTACATTCCAGATCACACGATAATGTAAATTATAACAATATAGAATAAAGTATTTAAACAGTCTTTTTAAATAAAAGTCTCACTTTCTGTCTACAAAAGCAGTGACATCAAACTTCCAATGAATATATCCTTTTCCATTAACGTCGCTTTATTTTTCATGTATTGTAAAGTGTCAAAACAATGACATTGAGCCATGGTATTCTAATGCGTATGACATTTCCTTGTTTAGAGGATTGCAAGAGGTACAATTAAGTTCCATATTTTCCACGTATTGGTTTACAGAAACCATTGATTTCTATCATTTTAATTTATTGCAGGAACGAGGGTAGTTTTTTGCGTTAAAAAATTTATTTAATTTCTATTTATTGTATATATCCCTTTTACTTTTCTATTTTGAAACGCTGCTGTTTTGTATAAATTTGAGAATTCTTGCTCTTTTTTCCCAAGCACTATCTTTTTACATATTTGTCACGAATAAAAAAGGCAAAAATATTATGTCTAATCTTAACCTTTTATGACGCGCGTTATTGTGAAAAAACAATTTCCTTATTAATAACTACGTTTCGCGTATAAGTCAAGTATAATTTCAAAATACAAGAAAAGAAAATCCATCAAAAACTATTAAAAATGACAAAAAAAACATAGTTCGTTTCACTTTAACTATACCCTATTCGGGACACAACATTAAAATCGTTTTACCGGAGATTAATGTAAAAAAACCTTTAATATATCAACAAATTTTATATTATTTTATATAATAATTATATAATTATATAATATAATTTAGGATAATTTACATCTCACCTAGGTTCTTTCGGGAAGTTTTAATTTTTTTTTTTTTTTAGTGTCCCTCGGATTAAGGAGGTTGTAACTTATAATTTGTAAGGCTGAGGTGGGCAGTGAGAGGGGAATGCTTTAATACAAAAGAAATATGGATTGTAGCCAACATTTGAACATTAAAATTTGA